GCCTAAGAAGGATTTACTTAGTAAAATATTTAGTTATGAACAAATGTTTTTGGGAAGTTTTGGTACAAGTGATCTACAAGAAGAGTTAGTGATTTGCGTCCAAGTTTACTTGCTTAACACCTATAGAAGTTCTATACTTCTCTTGTCATCTTTATTTATATATTTGTTTTTAGTATGATAATGCAGAAATCCTCTTACCAAACACCTATTAGTGAATAGCCATATTGTTCTAAATGCCATGCTTCAGTTAAAGCTAAAAAAAAAAAAAAAAAAAAAAAGGGTTAAATTTAAAGCAAAAAAAAAGAAAAACAAGAGAGATATCAGTATAAACAGAGAAGCTTTTGCAAATATGCAATAAATATCAAATAATGAAGGATACTATGAGTATTAGTCTTACAATGCCATGTATAACTAGATTAGATATCATTTAATCAACATAAAATAGTGATATTATTTCAATGCTATGAAAATAATAGTTCACAATCAAAAAATAAAATATCAAATATAATCTCTAATAACTTGTTAAACAGAATGAAATGAAAATATGTGCAAAATGTTAAAGAAAAGCCTAAAAAAAAAACCAAAAAAGCATATGCAAAAGTTTCATAAATATGTTGTTTTCTGTTTTAATTCAATTGTCATGGAACTAGAGGTAGTACCTGTTTATCTGACAACCTGGGAACTGTTATTTTGATATTATACTGAGATAAATTATGTTTAATTGGATTAGAGCTTGTACCCATCTAAAAATTTATGCTCCAGTTTTACTCATCTGTTATGTCAGTATTAACTGTGTCACAACTCAGGTTACTTCAAATGATTCAAGGTAACTCAGTGAACTGGTTGACTCATTAATTTATGTTATTTATGTCTTTTTTCAGAATATTCTCCTGAAATTTTATGCCCTTGCTCATCTTTTAACGTTTATTGATATATTCTATTTCGTAACTTTTCAGAGTCCCTATCTCTCACTATTCTTATTTAACCAGATACCGGATCAACTGGTTAAGCATAATTTATTCTGGGATGTTGTCAAAATAACGGTTCATGAGTTGTCAGATAAACAGGTACAAGCTCTAAACTGGATGATTCGGTATTTAGTTAGTATTTGGTTAATGAGAAATAGGACTCCGAAAAGTTCTGAAGTAGAATATCAGTGAACGTAAAAGACAAGCAAGGGTAGCAAAATTTTCAGAAGAGTACTCTGAAAGTTTACGAAAAAAAGAAAACATACAACTCAAGTCGGCTTAAATAACTGGGTCATTGGGTTACTCTAATTATTTGAATTAACCCGAGTTTTGACCCGGTTAATAATGATATAACAGGTGAGTAAACCGGAGCTTAAATTTTTAGGCGGGTACAACCTCTACACAGAACAAGAAAAAGGTTAATCTTACACTTAAAGTTTTACACCTTATGCTATAGAATAAGCTGTTCTGTAGTCGTGATCCAAGTATGTCATAACAATAAAGCCAACACTAATATAATTCACGAAAAAAATGTAAATTACAAATTCTAACAAACTTAAAGAAATTCTGTGTTGCCTAGCAGGCGATACTAAATCTTTATTCCTGCACTTTAGACGAAAAAGTGGGATCAGTATAATTGGAATGAAGATCGAGTTCGCAAAAGCGAAACAAAGCCTTTGTTTTGTTACAAATACCTGTTCCCGTACCTTATACTTATCCCCATTACATCATACTTATAGCATATAATATCTTGATATTACTCTTTGTCTTGAACGTATCTCTTTGAATATCTAATCAGTCATGTGACTTACGATGTTCATCTCGTGATTATGCACTCCTTGGTAGGTTAGAGAGAACGGATACGTATGCATATAAGAGTATGTATATCGATATATAGTGATTTGACAATATTAAAAATTATATATATTACTATAAAAAAAAAATTTAAATTTTTATAAAAAAGATACCCAGCCGGGTAATGAGAACCAATTTGATTTGTTTGTGCAGCCTAATATTATATCTGATATTTATTTATATACGTACGTAACAAAGCGAAAAATTTAAGTTTCACATAATCTAACCTATAATAAATTAATTTATATCTCTGTACTCGCTGCATTTTTACGATAAAATGACAATATAATTAAAAACATTTAAAATCATTCTGACAAGGATCTCTGAAAAATCCAATATTATTCAGCCATTATAGCGCACCAACCTGGTACACATTTTCCGGATGCCGATAATCTTGTTCCTTGCGTAACCTACGGTTGGCTGAGGCGTTTAGATTTGGTCGGTGGTTGGGTTCCGTAGGTAAGTACTGCTTCAGTCTTTTTAGGTCTCCACTTTAGCATAAATAAATAATAACACCTGAACTTCGCTTTATTAAAATAATTACTTGACCCCTTACTAGTGTTACAAATTGCCAAAAAATTTTCAATCGATTAGTTGTAAATTAAATGATTTATCGATTTTGATCGATTATTTTATTATAAGTTGACAAAATTTTTCAATCGATAAATTATTTTTTTTAAAAAAAAATTTCAATCGATTAGTTGATTTAGTTGACAACTAATCGATTTTTCGATTTTCGATTTGTATCACTACCCTTTACATAAAATAATCCCTCTCAATAAATATAAATTCGCTAAATTACCTGATCCCATTGCTAAGTTGCGTCGATCACGTGATACGTACCCGAATATTTTGTCCAGTTGAGTCTTGACGGACTAAGACCAACTGAGGTTAAACCAAGCTAAGAAAAAGGATACCCGAAGTAATGCGGCATCCAAAAGATAATCAGAACCCGGAACCAAAGAATTGAAAGGTCAAGTGGATAGACCAACCTAATAAATAAGAAGAATAAAGAAAGACTAAGGAACATAGGACGTTAAACTAAACTAAAGCGTGTTATGCATTATGCAGTTCTGTAGCAGTGTATGTTCATAATGTTCACAGTGAATATAGATTCTTAAAAAAACCCCAAAATTTAATATTTTATGTTCACATAATGTGAATATAAATTCTGATTTCAATGATTTCAAATTTATAATTTATTATAATATAATGTTCACATAATGAATACAGTCAGACCTCTTTATAGTCACTTCCTTGAGATACAAAAAATGGTAAATGTGACTATTATAAAGGTTTCTTCATATAGTGACTATAAGGCAATTATGCCTATAAAGAGGTAGAAATAATAATAATAGTAAAATTTTAATGTGATTAGGGAGGTCTGACTATATAATATAATTAGTACAGTATTAAATTAAATTAAAAAATTTAATAGTTTTAATTTAGTAAAATATAAATACAATATAATATAAAATTTTTATTGATTTTAAAATAAAATTAATGGGATTTAATGTTTTATTATATATATTATTAAATGTTGTCAACTTCATGACATTTTTAATAACGATTTTAATTTATTATTATTATTACATGACACAAAGTGTTTTACTCAATGTATCTTCCAGAAAATTTATCTGGTTTAAAATGTTTTTTTTTTTTTCAAATTATATTTCAAAAATTAACACATAGAACTATTATACGTATTACAATGTCTAAAATATTTAAAATTCAAATGATTAAATTTCAAATAATTTTAATTGTTTTTAGAATCAGCGGAACCATTAATAGATTGATTCCATGTATTAACTTCACATGAGTCTGAACTATGATTTAAACCATCACCGTTGTTAATATCATTCTCTTGCGTGGAATAATAATACATATTATTAAAATTATTTTCATGATTAGTAATTTCTGAATCACTATTATTAAGGAAATTAAGGTCATGCGAGATAAGAGGGAAATTTTGATCATGTAACATATTATGTGGAGTTGCCTCAAGATGCGAAGGGACCAGTTGAGTGTTATCTGTCTGCGACGAATTATCATTCTGGTTTCCTGAAATATTTAGGGAAGGATAAAGTAATGATTGATTGTTAAACATATGCATTTGAGCTGTAATTCGGGTTGTAGGCAAAGTTGACCATGGATTAAATAATATCGGAGTAGAGAATTTTGTGGCGGTGTTTGAAACCATATGATGTGACAAAGAATAAGGATCAAAATTATTCAAAGTTGAGCTAGAATTTGACGATGGTTGTGGCGAGATAGTATTGTGACTTCCAGGATTGTAATTTTGGTCAATATAATTATTTTCAGTATAATTATGATTTTCATAATCATCTTGATGACGATTCCATAATAATTCTGTTGTGCTCTGAGGAAAGAAAATATGTCCATAAGGGTGTGGCTTTGGTACACGTCTTTTCTTTTTTGCTTTCTTCGAATTTCGATTGACTTTTGGCATTTTTTCGGCTTTGACAATGTCTTCTCCCGGTTGAAGAGGCCGTAGTTCTTGGAATGCTTGTGGTGGTAATAACTGTTTTTCATTTTCTAGGAAATAATAAATACAATACATGAGATTTTTGTTGTATTTATAGTGAAAATAATCGAAAGAAATTGAAATTTTACCTTTTCCATCTTCATAAATAATC